CACACACACACACACACACACACACACACACACACACACACACACACACACACACACACACACGCACACACACACACACACATATGTGCATATGTATGTATATATATATATATATATACACATACATTGTGCACGCCCAAACTGCCGTCGCCCCAGGCGTTCTCAGGTCGGCGGCCTGAGTACATACATGAGAATGAAGGCGAAGCCCGTAGATATCATTACTTGTCCAGCCGATCGCTGCTGCACAGCGAGCTTCACAACAAACCAGGTGCACAGACTGGAGGCTGACGATCCGCTGACCACGGCGACTGAACGTTTTCCTCTGGCCGTAAGGCCTCTTAGGGCCACGGGGGGAAACACAGCGAACCGAGACGGCGAGAGGCCAGCACGCTGCATTGCACAACCCCCACTGTCGGGGGGGTCCTCTTGGGCCCCTCTTGGAACCCTCTTAGGCCGCTCTTGGGCCCCTCTTGGAACCCTTATAGGCCCCTCTTGGTCCCCTCTTGGGCCGCGCGAGCGGCCTTGAGCCAGGGGGGGTCAACCTAAAACGGGGCGGATGTTAGGGTGACCCTTCCAGCCCTTGAGCCACCCCTAATTCAATAGTTTCCGAATGCTCAACGAGGGCCCCAAGAGGAGCCCAAGAGGGCTACTCGAGTGCCCAGGGGGCCCACCCGAAAAGCTTGAATTCGAGGCGCGGGTGGGTCGCGAGCGGGTCGCGGGTGGGTGGGTCGCAGGTGGGTGGGTCGCGGGGTGGGTCGCGGGCGGATAGCTGGTGGGTCGCGGGCGGGTCGCAGGGTGGGTCGCGGGTGGGTCGCGGGCGGGTCGCGGGTGGGTCGCGGGGCGGGACGACGCCAAACAAAAAGCACACAACAACAACAACGACGACGACGACGACAACAACAACAACAACGACAACGACAACGACAACAACAACAACAACAACAACAACACCACCAACACACAACAACAACAACAACAACACCAACACCAACACCAACAACAACACCAACGCCAACAACAACAACACCACCAACACCACCAACACCAACACCAACAACAACAACACCAACACCAACACCAACAGCAACAACACCAACAGCAACAACAACAACAATAACACTTTGCATCGCGACATCCCAGTTTAGCCACGCACCCAGCACCGACGGAGCTGGGGGCGGCGCCCGAGAAGGCGGCCCAGGGCACAAGGCTCACACGTACTCATCGTGAAACAATGGTTGAGAATGGGGCCGCTGGCAGCAGCGACGGTGGAGGCGACGGATTGGCCCGCTAGCCTCCGACCAGTTCACTGAGCCTCGATGTGGTCGTGAGGAAAATCTGCTCGGGCGCCTTTGGGTCCAGTCCGACGCGCGGCAGCAGCGTCGCGCGGGAAGGGTGGTGGCGATTGTGGTGGTGGTTGTGGTGGTGTGATGGTGGCGGGGTGGTGCATGGGGGGGGGGGGAGGGGGGGCGCGGCGGCGCGCGCGCGCGTGTGCGTGTGCGTGTATGTTTGCGGGAGGGGGGGGGGGGGATGGTGGAGGGAGGGGGAGGGGACTTGGTGGTTGGGTCGGTGACGACGGTGGTGGCTGGTGGTGGTGGTGGCGGTGGTGGCGACTGGTGTTTTTTTTGGGGGGGGGGCATGCGCCTGGCCACTCCTGTGGCGTGCGGAACAGAATGTAGGAGGGATGACACGTATGTGGCATGTTTACTGGGGTGTCTATGTGATTACAATATGTAGATGTATGTGTATGCATATGTCTGTGGTGCACATGTATGTCATATATACATCGTTGGATGAGTATATACATATATGCATTCACGTATGGATCATACGGTATAGTTGTGAGTACGTGAAGGGGGGTACTTGCGTAACACATATATCAGAGTGAGGGGGCCGAACGGTCATTCACTGTCCCTGGCCGCGACGCACGAGCACGGGCATCCTGCAGCTGGGGCGCCATCGTGATGGGGCGTAGCACCGTCGCGCCCAAGACTGTCGGGGGGGACCCAACACAATCCCTGGGCGGTCCGCCGCAGGCTGTCAGGGGCTCCGACCAGCCCCATGGGCGTCAGGCCCCAGATTTTCGGTGGCCCCCACCCAGTCCCTGGCCGCCTGGGAGCCCCGTCCAGTCGGGTCGGGGACCCCGCCCTCCCCCACCACGGGACTTCCCCGAGCTCAGGGAGGGTCCCATCCGGTCCTTGGGCGTCCCGTCCCAGACTGTGGGGGTCTCGGGCCGGTCCCTGGGTGTCCTTTCGCAGACTGCAGGGGGGCCGCCCGCGCACGGGGCGTGCGCCAGGTCACCTTTTTCCTAACTTTTTCATAGCTTTTTGGACCTAGTGGAGACTGTTTTTCTGAAAAACGGCTCGGGCCGGGACAGGGGGGGCACTAGTGGCGCCCCCCAAGGGCTCGGGCCGGTCCCCTGGGGGCGCTGTTGGGCCCCCCCAGGGGGCCCGATCGGTCCTCGACGGGCACCCCCCCCCCTCCACCTCAGGGCGGGGGGCCCCCTAGCGGGGAGGGCCTGCAGGCGCGCCCCCAGAGCACCGTTTGGGCGCTCGGGGAAACCAGTAACCGCTCCCAAAGGCGCGCGAGCGGCATTTAAACGGCCTCCCCAGGGGCTCGCTCGGGCGCTAAAAAGATCCGACCAGACACACCCCAGCGGGCTTTCGCAGGCCCCGAGAGGGCCGCCTGGGGCCCACCAGGGGGCCCCAGGACCAGGAGAGCCCCAAGAGAGGCTTGAGCCAGCGCTGGATGATGACAACAATGATGAGGATGATGAGAATGATGATGGCGACGGTGACAGTAGATACGGCGACGAGGCCCCCAGATATATACTAAGACTGTAGGATTACTGGCGTGCTCTGCAGAGTTACCCTGGCATGCAGCATGACAGCCATGAAGGCAACCACATTGATGGTCAGGGTGAGCGTCGTAGAGTGGCAATGAGTATGCATGCTTGTGGGAGGTAGATGACGGCGCGAAGCAGGGCTACATAATAAGGAATGCGATCAATCATGCTACCTCAATCGCAGCACCCCGCAGTTGCTGATAAGAGTGCGGGGGCGAACGATTGAGGAAGGGGGGACGTGTGCCTCAGAAGCAGGTGGGAGGACGGAGGGAGGAGACGCGCGCCTCGGAGGGAGGAGGACGAGCGGCCCCCTGGCGTAAATCTATTCATAGATGTTCTCGCTCTTGGGCCCATCTTGGGTCCCTCGGCAGGCCTTCCTGGGGCCGTCTTGGGCCCTTCAGGAAGCTCCAGAGGGCCCCAAGAGGGGCCCAAGAGGGGCCCAAGAGACCCCAAGAGGGCCCCTAAGAGGGCCTTGAAAGGTCTCCAAGAGGGCCCCCTGACAGTGGCACCCAAGAGGGCCTTCTGGGTGCCACTGTCGGGGGGTCCTCTTGGGCCCCTCTTGGAACCCTTTTGGGCCCCTCTTGGTCCCCTCTTGGGCCGCGCGAGCGGCCTTGAGCCAGGGAGGGTCACCCTAACACGGTGCGGATTTTAGGGTGACCCTTCCAGCCCTTGAGCCACCCCTGGTTCAATATTTTCCGAATGCTCAAAGAGGGCCCCAAGAGGAGCCCAAGAGGGCTACTCGAGGCCCCAGGGGGCCCACCCGAAAATCTTCAATTCGAGGCGCGGGTGGGTCGCGGGTGGGTCGCGGGTGGGTGGGTCGCGGGTGGGTGGGTCGCGGGTGGGTCGAGGGTAGGTCGCGGGGTGGGTCACGGGCGGGTCGCGGGTGGGTCGCGGGTGGGTCGCAGGGTGGGTCGCGGGTGGGTCGCGGGCGGGTCGCGGGGCGGGACGACGCCAAACAACAAACAACAAACAACAAAAACAACAACAACAACAACAACAACAACAACAACATCAACAACAACGACAACAACAACAACAGCAACAACAACAACAACACCAACACCAACACCATCAACAACAACAACACCAACAGCAACAGCAACAGCAACAGCAACAACGACAATAACAACAGCAACAGCAACAACAACAACAGCAGCAACAATGACAACAACAGCAACAACAACAAACAATTGCAACAATAACCATCATCGCCAAATCCCACTTTAGCCACGCACCGAGGGACAGTGAATGACCGTTCGGCCCCCTCACTCTGATGAGCGTACAAATTGGGGGCCAATGGGGATACCTGATGCGGTAACACGGAGCATGCGGAGAGACGGGGTCAAGGGATTTGATGACGGAGTGCAATAAGCAGTGACAGGATGAGAGGGGGAAGGGTGGTACGGATGACGAGTTTGAGAAGAAACGCGGTGGACAAGGATATCACTGGGAGGGAAGGGGGGGCCACGAGGACCATGACTGCGGGAAAGGAACGGAACATGCTGGGAGACAGAATGGCGACCAGGGAAACGACGAATAGCGAGGATGTGGTAAAGAAGGGGCCCAACAACTCACCCTCCCCTCCTATCTCGCCGCCCCTCCTCCATCATGATCTCCTCCTCCCTCCCCTCCTCCTCTTCCTAATCCTCCTCCTCCTCCCTCCCCTCGTCCTCCTCCTAATATTCCTCCTCCTCCTCCTCCCCCTCCTCCTCCTACATCCTCCCTGGTACTGCTACCTCCTCGCCATCACCATTGGCCCAATGTGGGTTCGATGTTGTTTCCCATTATGGATGGGGATATAAACTTCAGTCCCAGGCTCAAGCCAATCCGTCTGGCTCGGAGTCCTCGCCATCCCTCTGGGGGCGCTCGTATGCTGTGATATCGGCGCCGCCTGGCATGACTCTGTACGCATGCCTCGCTGCGCGGCGGGCTGCATGTGGGAGGGCTACAAGCATGTGAAGCGGGGCTTTGTGGGGAATGTTGCGGGCCAGCGCTTCTGGGCCCCAATCCAACCACGCCCAGATCGCGCCCATGGGGCGGCCCTGCGCGGCATTCCCATCCCGAGCCCTGCTGGCGCGGGTGAGCCTGCACGGCTTCCCTCCGATCCTAGGGCACACGTTGCACGATGCCTCGAAACGTTCGTACCGTGCATAGTACTTCACTGCGCCGTGCGGGTGAATGAAAAACGCATCTGCGTGCCCGCGATCTGCAAGGCCAACTGCGGGCCCTGGCGGAGGCGGGGGTGGAGGGGGCGGCCCTTCTGGCGACCCCCCCCCAGGCGGCGGCGCATCAGGAGGCGGGTCATTGGAGCCAGACCCCTGGCTTCCCCCAGCACCGCCACCGCCATCACCCCCATGAGGTTCGTGAGGGCCAACACCGTCTCCGCCGTCGTCGCTGACCACGTGCACGTCGCCCTCGTCGCCAGCCAGGGGCTCAGAATCACCGCCATCCGATAGAGAAAGAAAATCCCACCAGAAATCATCATCGAGAGATGCTGGTCCATCCTCGTGAACAAACGCGTCGACCAACGCGCGATGCTGGCAGTGCCCCCCTCGGCTGCGGCGGCAAGTTCGAATGCCTCGGGGATGCGGGGCCACTTCGAGCTTGCGCGCAGACAGCGGGCATATGCCAGAACACGTTGGTCGACGCATTCGGCGCCTCGGATGTCCTCGCTGTCCGCTTCAGCGGACGCCTCGTCGCTGCCCACGTCGTGCTCGAAATGGTCGCCCTCCTCGTCGCTCGCGCCGTCCCCGAACTCGTGGTCGTCGCCCTTGTCGTCCAGGTGCCCTGCATCATCTGCATCTCCATCGCCAAGCCCGTCCGTGTCGCCATGCATCCCACTAATGGGCTTCGTTGGGTCCCAGAACGGTAACGGGACAGGCTCGGTAACTAACCTCTTAACCAGTACGTCTCCTGGGCGAAAGTTGTCAACGATGCGCCCGCCCTCGCAAAGGACGTAGAACTCACACGCCCACGAAACATCCCGTGATAACGTGGCGAACGCGTCCCAGTCAACCAGCTTGGAGTCGGTAGCCATGGCAGAACAACTAGTCGCATATCCCAATCTCGCCGCGGACCCACTACCCCCCACTGGGCGCATCAACAAAACATGATGCGATGAGTCGCCATTTTGAAATGACATTCCCGACTCGCACCAGACACATAAACAATACGACCTCTCGGGTGGGGGCTCGGGGATTTGCGGGCGTGGTGGGATTTGCGACCAGCGCGCTGCAACCTTGAGCAACACCTCCTCTACGCCAGAGCGCTCCTCCGCAGAGCAGAAGTCGAGGACGCGGTAGGTGCCCCTGAAGGGGTTCAGGCTGTGGGCGCTGATGTGCCACCACACGTTCAGGACAGGCTGCGATTGCTCGCCGCACGCAGCGCGCCAAGGCGACTCCTCGAGCGGCGACTCGCCGACCAAGTGCAAGAACAGCCTTCGGCTGGCAAGAAGGTCTGCTCCCTCAGTGTTCTTCCTCGTTGGTAATTTAAGTAAGGCGTGGAAGCGAGCACGTAACTTGAGCAATCGCGTGCCTGCTGGGCCACACAAGCACCTGCCAACGGTATAGCACGGGGGCTTGATGGGCGCCTTCGGGGCCTTGCCGATGGGGCGGCACTCCTGATGCATGATCGGCTTGTGCAGCGATGTCCAAAACTCTTCCAAATACTTGTTCAGGTTCGAGGTGCTGGTAGAGTTCGACACCACTGCCGCGCTCGCGGCGGAGAGCTCGCACGGGTCTCGTAGAGCGTCTTCTCGGCGTCGATTTTCTGAATGCGTTGCCATTCGGTCAGGCACTTGAACGAGTCCTCATCGCACTTCTTCAGTGCCCTCAATTCAGACCGCAAAGTTGCACGAGCAGACTTGGAAATCTCTTTGAGGTCGAACTCCTCGGCGTATGACCGTCCAACCACAGCGCTGGCGATGGCGCTGTCACACAAGACTGCGGTGTCAACCACGGGGGCCTCGGACTGAATGGCGACGGCCCTCGACGCAAGGCCTTCCAGACGTTGCCTGTGCAGCGCGCGTTGGACGTCCTTGGCCCTGAGACCAAACGAGCTGCCAACTGCTGTACCATTAGCGCCATCCCGCCACTGCTCAGTAGCATGTTTGCCTACCACTCGAAGGTCGGCCAGTTCGGCTTCTGGTAGTTCACGGTACCTCCTCCCCAATTCTCGCAGGTCTGGACGCCCAGTCGAGTTGGCGCTCTCGCGCCGAACGAAAGCCCTCCAGGCTCCGCCGCCACCGCGCTTGCTCGACTGGCCACTGCCGTCATCATCTGGGTCGCAAGGGCCGCCAAGGATGATGTGATGCGGCTCGCAGGTCGACTCCCACTCCTTCCCGAAACGCCTTGCCCTGTCCAGCATGTGTTCTGCACTGAGCTCCGCGTGGCCCTCAGCGTGCGTCTGGTTGCCCTTGGCGAAGAGTCGCCGTCGCACTGCAGAGTGGGTTGCCTCCACAGGTGCGACGTTCACCCCTGCTAAGTACGCATGGAGACGCAACTCTGCCCGAGCCACATCGCCGTCAACGAAATCGGGGTCCTCGCGGTATCTCTCCAGGAATGCCCAGGACCAATCGTCGTACATGCAGGGGGGGAAACAAGTGATGTCTGAGGATTGGGCGCCGCCTAAGAGACGAAACATCTTCATCGGGAACGTGCTGTGGTGCAAGTCAAGGGTCTCCTGGATGAGGCAGTCTGCTGCTGAAAGGAGCCTGAACGCAAAGCCTCGGAGACTGAGCGTCTGTCTCTCGGGCGCGATCAAGTCGACCCAAAGAGCAGGGTGGTCCATGAGAAGCTTGACCCGAAGGTGGAAGGACGCCTCGAACTGTCCCATGGCGCTCTCGACGATTGGATGCGCGCGCCCCTCTCCAGGTACACCCTCATTGGTACAACTCTGGGCAGCTGCAGCTTCCTGGCGATCTGCGTACGGAACTCCGCAATGTTCGAGGTGTTGCTTCAAGAGGTTTCGGAGCGGCTCCATAGTCTGACGGATCACCAGGGCACATCCCAAAGGGTCGCTTTGCAAGAATGTCGTAGCCAAGCGGCGATGCAGCGCGTGCTCTTCTCGATGCGCATTTGCCCGAGCTTGTTTGGAACTATCGTGCTTGTCGGCGTCGGGCTTGGGCACATTGGCGTCGCCCGAGCTGTCATACATGGGGGCGTCCATCACCGCGGCCAGGTGGAGGAGAGAAGCAGCTGTGTCATGCGGCACCGTCGGCGCGTTTGCGCCATCAAACTGCGAGGCAGCAAGGTCGCGCGCCTCTCGGCACCAGCGTTCCCACGCGGCCGATGCCAAGCCGTGGCACCCCTCCAGCAAGCAGAACTCGTCCCACGCTGAGTCGCTCCTGGTCCACTTGCTTCGATTGTATACTGTGAAGCGTGCCCCCACGAGGCATCTCGTCAACGACTCCGAGATGACCTCCTTCACGTAGTCCTCGTCGTACGTGGCGTTCTCTGGTAAGTACACCTCCACGCAGTCCCTCTTGCGCCAGTCACCGTTGGGGAGGTAAGCAAGCGAAAGCCCGCGGATAAGGACGCGGCTTCCACGAGAGCAACACAAGCGGAGAAGGTGACGACGATGTCGCACTGCCTCTTCGGGCGGGCGCCCTCGCCTGAGAAGACACGGTGGCTGCAACACCTGTGCTGGTCCGTCCCCCCCCCAGAGGGTACGTTTGCATTCAAGTATACTATGTGCGGCATGCGTGGGCATTGGTATGGACACGATCACCCTCACCAAAAACAAAACATCAAGAACAGCTCAAACAATGAGGCTGGGACCCAAACCTACAGCTGAAAACAAAGCCTGCTGGACGGGAAGGGGGGCCAGAATCGATGGCTCGGTCGGGGCCACGCGACGGTCAACGGGGAGCCTGCACAAGCTTTACAGGCACCGATCGCCGAAACTGCATGCGAGCCTTCACGACCTTCTTGACGCACATGGCGAACCTCGTGAACCCCGTGCCCTCGTTGATGGAAAGAGCCAAATGTATTTGCCCCGAGATGAGGGCATCGCACAGCTTGAAAGTTTTTTTGTGGGCCAAGGCAACCAAGTGCACCTCGCAGAAGATGTGCAAACGCTGCCAGCCACCAGCAACCTCGTTCAGGTCCTTGAGGTACGCCCTCTCTGCCTTCTCGTTGGAAGCGGCCTTGTCAAGGCATGTCAACCTCGTCTTGCTCTTGAACTTTTCGCAGAATTGTGTGATGCTGCTCCGTTGGCACGTGGCCTCGCGCAGGACTTCCCCAGTGGTCCTGTCAAGAAGTTGAAGCCAAGTGCTAGAGCGACCCCAGCAAGCAGCGAGCTGACCATCTCGTCTGCGGAAAAGTACTCCCCACGAATCTCTTGATTGCAATATTTTGGCCGTCGTCTTCTCTCTTCCAGACATCACTGGCATCCCTGGCATGGTCAGGGCCAGGGAAGTCGATGCCTCCGCAGGGTTGTGGGTGTGCTGGATGTTGTGATCATTCTGCCGCTGGAGGCCAAACTTGAGCGGCGTCTCGTCGTTCATGCTGGCGTCGATGTACACCAGTAGGTCGCAATCGTGCAAAGTTGTAGCCAACGTCGACTCCACGGCGAATCGAACACCCCTGTCGACGTGCACGACCATGCTCGCAGTGCGGTACAACGTGGACAAGATCTTCTTACGGTCTACCCCGAGGTTCGCAGCCAAAGAAACCTTGGAAGATACCCTGAAATCGACGTTGGCTCGGGAGCCGCTCTGCGCCAAGTAATGTCTCGCGACTTTGGTAGTTGTCTCATCGCGACCTGCATTGTCCATGCGAATGTTCTGGATGACCTCCCGCACGCATGGTTCGAGAGGCCACTGTGTGCGAAGGCGGATGTCCATCTCCTGCACCCTGCTGATGGTCTCTGCTGGTACTGCTGGCGGAGGCGCAACGGCCATGGCTAGATCAGCAGGCCGTGGAACCACCAACGGGCGATCCCGTTCGCCATCACGTTTTGCAGCCTTGCACTCTCTTGCGTGCTTCAGTATGTCGTGCCTGTCACGAGTGGGTGGATGCTCTATGCCAACAACGCCAGCATCTCTCAAAGCTTCCTGGAACAAAGCACTTCTCCGAAATCGCCGCGGGCGCTTCCCAGGATGCTCTGCGTCGTGCTCGGCGCTGGGCTCGATCAGGAGGCCGCCCCACGGCACGTCGT